ATCCTTCCATGTGTTCTGTTGAATACAGTTTAAATGAATGCAATTCATAAAACTGAGTCTGGGAACATTTAATTTGAAAAAATAAACTATCAAAAAATGACAAAATTAATATTTGACGAAATAAAATCTAAGAAACAGCAAAGTTCCTCTAAAAACCTTTTTAAGTTTTACTACACATTTTTTGATTAGTACAATGATGGACAAAATTTACTCCATAAACAGAACTCCTCATAATTGATCCTTTTAAGAGCTGGCAGAAAAACATAACTCCTTCAGGTTTAACAAGTTTATCTAGACATTTGTGGTGTCCTGATCCAATCAAAGAGTTTATAATTAAAGTGTTCTGTTTTCTTTTTAATGATTTTAATCAAAGTGCGTGATGAAACTAATCTTTTCAGACCTGTTGATGGTCCCCTATCTGTGATTAAGTTCCAGTAGTGAGAATATTGGTCCGGTTTTGCACAACTTACAAACTGTGTTACAACTGGCATTAAGTGCAGGTTAAGTACTGATTCAATGTTGGATTTTTTGATTGGGACCTTTATGCGTATATTATAAAAATAATTTTATAAAATGAATATTGTGTGATAATTTAAAGATATTACCAATCTAGTCAGGTGGAAAAATCTCTTTAATTTCACTTCAGTAGAGACAAAACAACAAAAGTCACAAAGATTACTTTTGAAGCCTAATGAAATGCATTTATTTCCAATCCTGCTGCATAAATAAAAACTATGCCAATGGAGTCAGTTCTAAAGTTAGTAAGCTATACCATTCCATTAGAAACATAAAATAAAAAAACTAAACAATAAAAAAATAATAATCAGAAACTGATGAAAGTCTGCAAACTTGCTGCCAGAAGAAAGACAACCAAAAATTATGTTTAGAAGTGATCTAACATGAGAAGGAAGCAATTCAAAGATTAAAAAAAGCAATACAGAAAAGAAATGAAACCAGAAGCAGAGTGTCTTTTTAAGTGTCTAACAAAATTCCACCTCGGCATTACAATTCTCCTCTTCTGGCTCCTAATAAAAACATTGAAAATCAAACACCTCTGAATAAAACACTCTCACCATAGGGAAAGCTTTTACCCAACATGGAAGAATAAATAAGAACAAAACACCATCTGTTTCATTATATCCATTCGTTCTTTACAGAAGTGCTTTTTTTTTTGTCTGTTTGGCTCACTGAATAATATTAATAACATTAGTGAACAAATCAGGCCAATTAGCCCCAAAATCCATAATTTAAGATCTACATTTTTCAAACATTTTCATTTTTGTAAATGTATTCATACATTCATAATGTGATAAAATCAATCCCCTTTTGTTGATTTCAGTAATTGAGGCACAGTTGTGATATGAACTCAAACAGTATCTCCAATAAAAGCTTTCTGGAAACCAATGTTGAACTACGGGCTTCTTTCTATGACAGAATTTGGTGCCAATAGCAAAACAATCAATCATTGTAGAAAACCTAAAGTTTTTACTATCTTAAGTCCTTCAAATATAAAAAAATGATTTAGGTAAGTACTGGCGCCAACTTGTTTGTGAATTCCAGCTCATTTCTCATTGCACAGTAACATGTTCCCACTGTTTTTCCATTTAGCAGCGACTAAAATGTGAACCCTTCAATGCCACGTAAAAAAGACTTTTCCCACTTGTGACTTTGCTAAAAACAGACTGCAAGCATTCTGAATGAATGTTTTTCTATTGAGAGCTCAATTAGAAAAAAACCCTCAAATACTAGTATGCTTATTTTGCAATTCTCTCCTCCAATAGGGCAGCATTTGGTTCAGAGACCGGATGAAGTCAGGCTTTTAAGACTAATTTGGCACTTTTCTCAACACTATCGAATGACACACCACTGACTTCAAATTCTCTCATATAGATGTACATATGTTTAATTATTTTGCTGTGTGGCGTGAGTCACACAACATGCCTTCATTTCATTAAGTAATAACACTATAGAGAGACAATAAAATAGGTATTTTTTTTGTTCCATTGACTACGAAACGTGATAGTTTTATATTTACCCTTTAAGCTGAACTTAATGAGTTCTTAGCAGCATTGACCGTGTGATCGCTGAATGCTCTGTGATTAAAATCCATCTCTTTTTATCTGTACCTGCTGTAACCTTCTGTGTGTAATCGTCAGTAGCCACATGCTTAAGGGATGTGACTGTAACTCTATGGAAAGCCACCAGGTAAAAAAACATCTGATGCGTAGACCATACGTACCTGTCATGTTCTTAGTGAATACTCAACATGTACTCTACACATTGTCAACATGAAAAAAGTGTGAAGAAATTAACAGCTAAACAACACTTAGAGTAGATGTGTACTACAAGTTAACAATGTCACAGTCATATATGTGCATATGCATAGATGTCATGGGATTTTGAACCTGGTGGCTTTCCATATTGCTTATTTTAGTTGAATTTTTGAATAAATTACGCAAGAAACCCATCGAGTCTAGTCTGAAGTAAAAGGAGAACCTTTGGCAAGCAAAGATAAGAAAAAGGTGCTGAAGTGTTCATGTGCTGCATTGCAAAAAGCACAGCTCAAAAATGTAAACGAATGGCCCTTTAGTTTTTAGAGATGCACCGATACTGGAAAGAAGCAGTTTGAATGACTAGGGAGAAATTTGAAAATATTTTTTTTAAACTATTTTTGTTAATTCAGCAATAATTAAGTTCCTTTTATTTGTTTTAGTTTTCGATTTGTGGTCAGAATTTTACATGCAAAATGCTCTGTGTCTGTGAGAGGTCTAATTGAAAAAGTCTAGAGAATCATGATGGAGAAGATACTTCCTAAATTTAGTATACTTCCATTTAGACTGCATACTGACAACAAGATTCTCTCTTAATACCATCAGCGTATGTTAAGCTGGCTCTCATGATAGCAATATTTCAGTTGTTCAGTTTAAACTGTAATTTCCTAAATGATTAATACACATTTATAAAGACCCAAAGGCCGATTAGTCAAGAATAGAGCATCTCTGACAGAATATCCTGAAGTCAGACTAGGCAGATTTTATTAATTGATTAACTAACTAGTGGGGAAAGTTAAATTTTTAACCCATGAGCTGTAGCTCTCTTTTTATCTCTTGTTTAATGAGCATAAACCTGAACCAGTTTTTGGTTAGACGTGTAAAAAAACAACCTAAAAATTTGTTTTAATGTAACTTAACTTCAGTTTTAGATGAATAGATTTAGTTTTTAATTGCTTATGTGTAAACGTCACTGCCCTTTAAAAAACACCCATTGTAGCTGTTGGTGCCATCCACACAGAGTGTGTAGCCTGGAAACAAATAATGAATAAACACTTTCCTAAACATCTCTGCAAAGCAACACCAACCTTTAGTCACTAGGGGCACTAGACCTGTAACTTCCATAATTAGTGGCCCTGAAAATAACTAGAAGAGCTGCATCATTACACAATTAAACAGCCTCCGTTTTGGAAAAGAAGATTGAAAGGTCATGGAGTTGATTTTAAAACAAGGCTACATTCATCCCTATGGCTTAAATCCCATATCAGAAGTAAATTTCGTTCCATTATTGATGCAAGCAAAGAATACGATTTATAAATGGAAACTAAATGTGAATGTGATTTATAAAGCGCAATTCGAAACACATGCAATTTTTAAAACTCAATCTAAAAAATTAAGAGAGAAATTTGAAAAAGCATAATGCATGAAAAAGAATTTAGATTTTTTTTTTAATAAATAAAATAAGAGTAATTGAAAATACGAAACCTGAGAAAGTTGCCTTCAAAACCTTTTTTTTTTATACGACTTTTTAAAATTCTTTTCACCTATTTTTAAATTTCCATGTACAAAACTTGTTCTTTGCTTAAAAAGTTACGATGGAACATAAGAACCCAAAATATATCTGATTAAGTAAGTTTCATATCTGTTTTACTTCCAAACCACAGTTACTTCTGGGTCACATGAGTCATTCAGTGATAGATCCCGCCCACTTTATTTATACAGGCAAGTTTTTGATTAAAGTAAACTGCTTGGAGCATCGATACGCACCAAGTGCTTACCGGTAATATTGACCAGATAAATTAATTTATATATCTTAAATTAAGCTAATATTTGGGTCGAAAGCCACAGCTCTTAAAAGTAGATACGAATAAAACCTCTAATTACTGGTCAGAGCTTTCAAAATAAAAGTGGAAACCGACCCAACAGATTCTGATCGGTGCATCTCTAATTTCTGTCGTTTACTGAGGTTTTCTGATGGCTCCTAATGATTCACAGATCGTTAAAATTGAAAGCGTAAAAACAGTCAAGAGTAAAAAGAAAGTTGCTTGATTTAAATGTAAAAGTTTTAGAATAGCTGAAACATAATTGCATTTTGACACCATGAAGGGATCTGTGGCCTGTCTTTTGCCAGCACAGATAAAAGTACTTTTAAAATCTGCTTTATATGGTCAAACTGACAAAAGGTTTGCTTAACTTTGACCATGAGTGTATATATGAACGGTCTCTCGGTGATGCACTGCTATTTCTTGCCCAGCAAGAGTTAATCATTCCTTTCATAGTGCAAATGCCATCATTTGAAACCAGAACTGGAACTGAGTGGAAACCTTCAGCGCCTTTTGGAGCCTCGGGGCCCCCAGAGTCCCTCTCTGGCTGTTTGCACTACACTCTTTGACCAGCAGAATCTGTCACACAATCTTATGTTTCTGTTTCAAACTGTAGCAAACCGACAGAAAAAGGTGGATAAAAAAAATCTGCCAGTTTATGACAAAAACATCTAATTTCTGCTGTAAAATAAGTTACAAAAAGGTTGAAATAAAAATCTTTGTGTACAGTACTAAAATCCTAACCTAGAGATTTTAAAATTAAGAACCACATGTTAAGTCTATAAATACCTTTACAAATATACATGTTAATTATTCAAATAAAACTTTTCTAAATGATTCAATGTTTTTAACGCTCAGACAGTGTCTTTCATCCTCAAATAAAATTATTTCTAAATGTTCTTTTTTGTGTCTTTTTTACGTACATAGCTATGGACAGCGATATCATACATATTTGCATTTATATATTTACAATACACCACTTTCTAGAAATAGAAAAAAGAATTCCTCCAAACGCCAAATGTTCTTATTACTGAAAGGCCCTGAAACTTTGCCTCATGAGGAGTTTGTTCGGAGGCTATTCCAAAATTGTTCTTAAGATGTAAAGATGTGGAAAGAGAACACTGATGAAACCAACTCTGTAGCTGAATGTCTTCAACTTTTCCAAGTTGAGTCTGGTTTTTCTGGCGACTTCTTGCAGGATTAGCTTTTAAAGTCATCCATGGGCTCCTTTCGAATGAGACCAATCGAACGTCCTCCTGCACCCCTTGAAATGCCCTTTGTGTCCTCCTCTAAAGTTTCCCATGGAGGTTTAATCCCAGTAGGCACGGAATGGTTTCACCAAGCAACCGTTTGTAGCAAAAGACTGGCCAGAGTATAAAAATAGAATTTCATTCCTGACAAGAACGCAAAAATGGTTCATCAGCAAAAAAGAGAAAAAAAGTCCTTCAGTGTCCAAAGTGTCTTTTGGGGAATTAAAGAAGGAAAAACCTAAAGACAATGCCAGACCAAGAGTTTAAGACGAGCTCAGAGCTGCGGAAGTATTGCATGAAGTCTTTCTTTCCATAACTTGAGGACTCTGGAGTCACTGAGAGGTGATTATTTGTCACAAACTGTGAGCGGAGATCCAGACCTGACCTCCAGAAGTTCAGGTTTTATGTCCTTATCACACCGTTGCTGGGGAGCTGTTTGGGAAGACAGGGCTCATCGGGCAGCGGGTCGTGGGCGAACACCGAGTCATCTCCGGAGGAGCAGGTGCTGTTGGAGTCTTGACAGGTTGGGGAGTACTGCTCGAAGGGTACTGACAGGTCCAGGTACTCCTGTCAGAAGAAAGCTCAAAGGTTAGACTCGGATGTCATTATCAATCCCTTCTGTGCCCATATATGTAGGAAAAGTATCCTGCATGAATAAAACCTTGTAGATTTTTAGGGTTTGAACATCTAAAGTCCATTTATTCAGTGCCTTAAAAAAGTATTCATCGCCCTATGAGCTTTTTCCCATTTTCATTTTGATTCCATTACATGCACTTAATGATTTCATGTTACAGAGCACCAGACAAAAAGCGGTGTCTAAATTTTAAGTGCATGTAATTGCAATTATGCTTTTCTTCCAAGATATAATAAATAAAACCCACCTTCCAGCAGGACAAAGATCATGACCCAGGGCTCCAAAACCTATTCAACCAGTTTATATGTGCAGAATGTGACTCATATCTGTTGTTTTGCAATGTGACTTCAGTGGGAAGAACCAATGCAGACCTATAATAAATTTGTCACTATTTTTTGCCACCAAACAGGAAACAGCAGCAGTTTGCAAAGCAGACAGAAGCTGCAATAGTAACTGCTAAAACTGATACAAAAATAAACAACGTTGTCCTAAATAATTGTCCTAAAACACAACCCCCACTTCTCCATGTTTACTGTTTTCTGTGTGCAATGATCATTTAATGTTTTTAAGTGCATGTAGGTCAGTTTGAAGCTGCAAACAGTTCCCACTGAAGTCAGATACAGGCCACATTTTAAAGGTAATGGGAACGACAACAGAAAATCTGGTCTAAAAAAAAATGATGTTTGAGCATAAAGACCTGCAGTTTTAATGCAGCCTTAATCATAGTGGTTGGAATAGCCCTGGGGGTTGGCAATTCCAGTTCATAAAACCTTTAGATTTTTCCTAGGTCCAACATCCCTGAATCAAATGGCTGAATTACCTCCTCAGAGTCCTGTTAACTATCCAGTTACTTCATACAGGTGAGTTGGGCCAAGGAGGCATCAAAAAGTTGCAGATTACCAACCTTGAGGAACTGGATTTGCCCACCCCAGGACTAGCCAAACATTTCACTCATGTAAAAAGTATGAAAGAAAATGTTTTATCAAAAAGTTACTAAAGTAAATCTAAATAGTCACTACCCACCTCTGACTAATATTAAAAAAATGGCTGTATGTTTAATTTAAAACCAGAGAAAAACTAAATTTGTTCTGCTCACAGTTATCTTTTATTTCACTAAAAATGAACATTTAGCCATTTTTTTTCTTGCATCAGGATCAATCACCCTTGCAATTTGCCATTCATTGAGACACTTACATCTGTGGAGGTCATTGATAAAATCCGGTCCAGATCTTCTACCAGCTGTCTGAACGTAGGCCTCTGAGACGGGACGGCGTGCCAACACTCCCTCATGATCATGTACCTGTAAA